GAGCAGTTCCCGGAGAGCTCGGAGCTGGAGGACGACGACGCCGAGGGCCTGTCCTCCCGCCTCAGCGGCACCCTCAGCTTCACCAGCGCTGAGGAAGACGACGACGACGAGGACGAGGACAGCGAAGAGGCCGGCCCCGACCCACTGCCCTCCGGGGACCGGGCGTCGGGAGAAGACGCAGGCGAGTGCGGGAGGCCAGAGGCGGGAACCTGGGCTGCATTAGGCCTCGATCCCAGCCTCGATCCCCCTGAGCATCTCGGGAACTCCGACACTTCTTTAAACGCCCCTAGCCACTTCATGGCTGTGTGACCTTGACAGAGTCACACCACCTCTCTGAGCCAACTTTTCCCTGAGTGGGATGGGAAAAAATCACCCCCATCGCAGGGATCTTGCCGGCTTTAAGTCCAGGGCCCCGGATACAAACAGCGATGGTGTGCTAGCGGTGTGGGGGTGGAGAGATTCACTTAGTGCTCCGTGTGTGCCAGGCATGGTGTGGGCACCGGTACCTCTGTCCGTTTCCACTTCTGTAAAAGGGGCACAGCACCTACCTCCGGTCCGAAGGACGAGTGAGGGATGGAACTTTCTGTACCTGTGGCCTGGGCCAGGCCTGCTGACGACTGATCGTGTGCTTGTGCAGAGCGGAGCCCCCCACCTGATGGGCAGCGGGGCGGTCAGCTCCTGGCCCGGCAGCTGCAGGATTTCTGGAAGAAGTCCCGGAACACCCTGGTACCCCAGCGGCTGCTCTTCGAGGTGACCAGCGCCAACGTAGTCAAGGACCCGCCCTCCAAGTACGTGGTGAGTGAGGGGCCAGGACTCCCTGGGTTGTTAGTCTAGAAGTCTGGCTAAGAGAAAGGGCATGGCTGTTAGAAGTGGCTGCCCCATTTACACAGGGGGAGACTGAGGCTGGGAAGGGAACGGAACAGGAGCAGGTCCTCAGGCAAAGGACTTGTTTCTCTGAAGCTGAGTGCAGGAGGGATTAAGGACCTGCTTCCCCCTTTAGTTTTTTTTTTTTGTTGTTGTTGTTTTAATTTTTAAGAATTATTTTGGGACCAGCAGTTGACATAAGGGGCTATGTCACTGGAGTCCCGGACCGGTGGCTTAAACTCACTCCAGACACCTATGCGTGCGTGCCCAAGATCCTGAGAGAATGGAGGAGAAGGTATTGCAGCGTGGCCATCCCCCCTAGAGGGAGTTGTCTCTCTGTCTCTCTCTGACTTTCTGGCGAGCGCACACACCCTATAGCAAAAACCTCTCAAAAAAGTATTATCTTATTTAACTTTTTAATTTTTTAATTTGACCAGGGAGGGACAGAATGAGAGAGACAGAGACAGAGAGGAAAAGTGAGAAAACAAGCTGCCAAGTCCAGGACTTGAACTGCGGACAGCCATGTGGGAGTCCACTGCCCTTAACCACCATGCCACCTGCCGCCCCACAGGGTTTTTGCACATTGTAAATAGCAAGATGTAAGACACTAAGGGGTCAGACTTGAATCCCAAATCATAGTTAAGGAAATAGGCTTTGGAGCCAGACCGACCCTGATTCACATCCTGCTTACTACCCGTCATCTGGCCTTGGCTGAGTTGTATGACTTTAATGACCCTCAGTTTCCTCCCCTGAGCAATGGGGATAATGCAGAGGATTACAAGAGAAGTTAAAAACCCTTGGCATTGTACCTGCATGACAAAGTGCTCAATAGGGGGCCAGTAGGTGGCATGATGGTTAAGGGCGCTGGACTCCCACATGGCCGATTGTGGTTCGAGTCCTGGACCTAGCAACTTGCTCTCTCTCTCTCTCTCACTCCGTCTCTGGCCAAATTAAAATGAATAAAATTTAAAAAGAAAGTGCTTGATAAAATGGTACCTATATTATCTTTTAACTTGGGGTTGAAAATACTTGGCATGAGGGCCAACAGGTGGAGTGGAGGCTGGGGTGCTATTAATAGATCCCACATGGCTAACTCCATAGTTCAAATCCCAGAACTGGCTGCTCGGAAATCACATCTTGCTGGCCCAAGATCCTTGGAGATGAGAAGGGACTGCAGCATGGCCATCCCCCCAGGGGATGATTTTTCACTGTCTCTCTCTCTCTCTGTCGAGTACACATGCCCTATAATGAGAAACTAAAATAATAATAGAGATATAGAAAGAAAGAAAGAAAGAAAGAAAGAAAGAAAGAAAGAAAGAAAGAAAGAAAGAAAGAAAGAAAAAGGGGGACCAGCAGGTGGCATGGTGGTGAAGGTGCTGGACACTCCCACATGGCCAACTGTGGTTCGAGTCCCAGACCTGGTGGCTTGCTTTATCACTTTCCCTCCCTCCCTCTCTCTCTTTCTCTCTTTGTATTTCTCTCTGGTCAAATTAAAATAAATGCATAAATAAATAAAATTAAATAATTCTTAAAAAAAATAAAAGGAAAGAAAATACTTGGCATCTAGGACCTGCTGTGGCCTCCTCCTAACTCAGGCAAACCCATTCTTGAGCACCTGCCTACACAAATTATCTTGACCTATGGCTAGGCTTAGGGGGTTGGTGCAAAGAGCAGTGTGGAGGAGAGCCCTGGCGTCCCTGTTTGCATAGCTGTGGACAGGAAAGACAGGCACAGAGAATGTTGTCTACCAGGTCCTGCTCCCAGCCAGTCCTAACACCAGCTAAGATGGCTGGTCCCTGCCTGTCACTCCCCTCCTCTTCACCACCCTGCTCCACCTCTGACTCAGCAAGAGGGGCCTGGAGCCCTGACCCACTTCTGGGCCTCTCCACCCCCACGCTGTAGTGTCAGTAAATAAGGACCACACCCATGGAGTGACTGCTCCGATTTGAGCAGGGATCGACTCTGATGAGCCTTAAGTAGCAAAGGTCCCAGAGCTCTGGGTGGACAAGGAGTCATGCACAGGAAGGGGGTCAAGGATCAGAGGTCCCAGAACTCATAGGGCACAGGGGTCATGCACAGGAAAGGGAAATACAGGAGCATCTCAAAGGCAGGGAGGAATGGGGCTGACTCCAGGTGCCCGGATGGGAATGAAATGACAAGATAGAGCAGGGTGGCCGAGTATGCCCTGGCCTGTGTCTGCAGAGGCAAGTTAACTTTGTGCAATGGTGGCCCTAAGGCCCTGTGTAACTTTTCTGCAGCGGGGGGTTGAGGGTGAGGTGGGGTGGGGTGTGGAGTAGAGAGCACAGGCTTTGGAATCAGATGGAGCTGAGTTTGAATCCTAGCTAAGCCACTGGCCAGCTGTGCACAATAGGGCAAGTCTTTGAGTCCTTTTCCTGACTGTAAGCCTGCTTCCTCTGCCGTCAGACAGGGACGCATTCCTCCCAGCGCTGCTGTGGTGATTAAAGGGAATCAGATGTAAAAGTGCTTGGTAAGGGGCCAGCTGGAGGTGCAGTGGTTACCACGCTGGACTCCCATATGGCCAACCATGGTTCGGGTCCTGGACCTGGTGCCTTGAAAATCATACCAGGCACATGTGCGTGTATGCCCTAAGTCCCAGGAGGAGAATGGAGAAGGAATTGCAGTGTGACCCTATCCCCTGGGGGGTGATTTCTCACTTTCCCTCTCTGGCTCTCTGGCAACCATAAGAGCCCTAAGCAAAAACCTTAAAGAAAAAAAGGGGGGGGGTGTTTGGTACAGCACAGGCAGAGGTGAGTGCTCAGCTGATGGAACTACTGTCCCATCCTTATCACTTCCCTCAGCAGAATGCCACAGAGATCCGATAAGACAATGGATGTAGAACTTTTTTGCAAAAAAAAAAAAAGAAAGAAAAAAGACAAAAGCTATTGGGTCGTTGGAAAAGGCATGACATATTTTTGCATAGATAAATTCAGAAAAATATATCACTGAGACCAGCAGGTGGTGTGATGGTTACATCAGTAGACTCCCACATAGCCAACTACAGTTTGAGTCCTGGACCTGGAGCCTTGAAACACTCCAGGTGTGTGTGTGTGTCTGTATGTGTCCACAATCCTGAGAGGAGACTGGAGGAGAAAGGATTGCAGAGTGGCCATCCCCTTTGGCGGGTGATTTCTTGCTTTGTTTCTCCGTCTCTCTCTTTCCAGCAAGTAGCACGCACCCTAGGTCCCCCCAAAAAAAGCTCAGAAAAAAAGAAAAATACAACATGAGTTTTCCGATGACCCAATAGGATGAACATAAGGAGTTATTATAGACCAGTGCTTCCTGAAGTATGTCCTGCAGAAAACTTTCCCTGGAGGGACCAGCAAATGGCACAATGTCTATGTCACTGGACTCCCATGTAGTGGACTCACATGTAGTCAACCACAATTTGAGTCTCAGACTCGGTGGCTTAAACTCACACTGGACACATGTGCGTGTGTGCCCAAGATCCAGAGAAGAGAATGGAGGAGAAGGGATTGCGGTGTGGCCATCCCCCTGGAGGGTAATTTCTCACTTTCTGTCTCTGTCTCTCTCTGTCTTTCTGGCGAATGCATGCGCCCTATAGCAAAAAACTCTCAAAAATAAAATTTTAAAAATTTTAAAAAGAGAAGAAAACTTTCCCTGGAATGTTAATAACTATTTTAGGGTGCCAGCAGGTGGAGTGGTGGCTAAAGGCACTAGATTCCCACATGGTCGACCACGGTTTGAGTCCTGGACCTGGTGGCTTGCTTTCTCGCTTTCCCTCTTTCTCTCTCTCTCTCTGGCCAAATTAAAAAATAATATATAAATGAAAATTAAAAATGGAAATAAATAAGATTAAAAAAATAACTATTCTAAAAAAAGAAAATATAGGGAACCAGCAGTTAGCGTAATGGCTATGTCGCTGGCCTCCCACGTAGTCGACCGCAGTTCACGTCCTGGACCGGGTGGCTTAAAACTCACGCCGGGCGCCTGTGCGCGCATGCCCAAGATCCTGAGAGGAGCACGGAGGAGAAGGGATTGCGGCGTGACCATCCCCCCTGGGGGTGATTTCTCACTTTCTGTCTCTGTCTCTCTCTGTCTGTCTGGCGAGCGCACGTGCCCTATAGCGAAAACCTCTCCAAAAAAAGGAAAACATAGGGACTGGAAGGTGGAGTGGTGGTTAAGATGCTGGACTCCCACATCGGCAACCATGGTTGAGTCCCGGACCTGGTGGCTACTTTCTCAATGTCCCTTTCTCACTCTCTGTCTCTCTCTGGTCAAACTAAAAATATCAATAATAGGGACCAGCAGGTAGCGTGTTGATTAAGGCGTTGGGCTCCCACATGGCTGACCATGATTTGAATCCCCAGCATGCTTTCTCAGTTTCCCTTTCTCTCTGTCTCTCTGGTGAGCACACATGCCCTATAGCAAAATTAAAAAGCTAGTAATAATAAATGTTTTAAAATAATAAAATTAAATAATTATTTAAAAAGAAAGATTTTGTAGGCAATGCTTTGGAAATAGAGAGTTGAATGAGAATAAAATAGGTTTCTTTATTGTTAAGCACATTTTTGTTTTTTGCTATAGAGCTCATGTGCTTACCAGAGAGAAACAGTGAGAAAGTGAGAAAGCACCCCCTACTGGGGAAATGGCCACACCACAGTCCCTTCTCCATTCTCCACTGGAGGTTTTAGGCACGCAAGCACATGCACCCAGTATGTTCTTTCAAGTCGCCAGGTTCAAGACTCAAACCATGCAGTCAGCCATGTGGGCGCCAGCTGCTGTAATCACCACACCACTGGGAGGCGCTATTGTTTTTAAATGCTTGATGTTAATGTCCCCTATGAGTTGTCAAGAAAAGGATAGAGGGAACCAGCAGTTAGCGTAATGGCTATGTCGCTGGACTCCCACGTAGTCGACCGCGGTTCGTGTCCCGGACCCAGTGGCTTAAAACTCACGCCGGGCGCGTGTGCACGCATGCCCAAGATCCCGAGAGGAGAATGGAGGAGAAGGGATTGCGGCGTGACCATCCCCCCTGGGGGGTGATTTCTCGCTTTCTGTCTCTATGTCTCTCTCTGTCTGTCTGGTGAGCGCACGCGCCCTACAGTGAAAATCTCTCCAAAAAAAAAAAAAAAAAGAAAGAAAAGAAAAGGATAGAGTAAGCTAACTTAAATGATTAAATGTGGCTAGAATATTGGCAATTCCGCAGAACAAATTCGAGAGAAACATCTGGGTTTGGTGTTAGTGTGCCTGTAATATCTAACAGTTGCTAAGTCCCTTTTAAAACCCGTTGACTCAGTATTATATTTTTTTTGACTCAGTATTATTAAAGATTAATCAAATTCAGGTTCTTAGACCCATGGGGAAACGTGGTTACCTTAGTTCAATGTTTCCCAAACCTCTGGCATTCCAGTGCCACCTTCAAGATTCTCAGCATGTCTAAAATGCTTCTCATGCCACATTTGCTTAACATTGTTCTTTTTTTCTAGGAAGGGTTTTTGCTAGAGAGGTTTCTTAGAGAGTTTTTTCTTGGAGAGAGGGCGCGTGCGCTCGCCAGAAAGACAGAGACAGAGAGACAGAAAGCGAGAAATCACCCCCTGGAGTGGACGGCCATGCCGCGGTCCCTTCTAGAAACACACATGTCCTGATTGGACACGTGGTATCTGGCATCTTCGACGCAGCACTTAACTGTCTAAATAAGTTTAAAAGTCAACTTTATAGCACTATGTATGTGGGGAGCCTCCGTTGCCATAGAGAGAAGCAAACCATAAAAATGAAAGTGGTAGGGACCAGCAGTTAGCATAATGGCTATGTCGCTGGACTCTTATGTAGTCGTGGTTCGAGTCCCAGACCCAGTGACTTAAACTCATGCCGGGTGTGTGTGCATGCATGCCCAAGATCTTGAGAAGAGAATGGAGGAGAAGGGATTGCAGCGTGGCCATCCCCTCGGGGGGTGATTTCTTGCTTTCTGTCTGTCTCTTTCTGGTGAGTGCACGTGCCCTGTGGCAAAAACCTCTCTATAAATAAATAAATAAAACATTTAAAACCAAAAATGAAAGTAGTAGAAAAATAAGGAAATAAATAAATAGAAGCAGTGAAATGAAACAGTCATTAAATCCTGCCCAGATGCTGTTCCCTGAACGCCCTGACCTGAGGTTCGCTTTCTGGCCCTTTGCTAAAAATGGAGATGAAAAGTGTTAGAGAAGTGAGGTTTTTAAACCAGACTGACAGCTTCTGGATTTGTAGAAAGATGACAATAAAGACTAAAGGAGTCCCCTCCTGTCCCTGGTGCAGCATTACTTACTCTAGTATGTGTCACTTAAAAACCTCGGGTCCCACCACTTATAGGGGTCCCATCCTTGAGTGACACTGACCTGACCCAATGCTTCCTTCACTAGAAAGGGAAGTGGCCCCAGGGGACCGCCCTGCCTGAGGTCACACAGGGAGGAGTAGCTGACCGGGATTAGAACTTAAGTCCTGGTCCGGTATACTTCTCACAGTTGGGGCTGCCTGAAGGCCAGTCCTCTTGATGCGCATTGGAGTAGCCTGGCCAGGGAGGTGGGGGCTGTGTCCAGAGTGGAACCCAGCTCCGAGTTGGCCCTGAAAGCTGGCTGAGACCCCGGGGAGCGGCCTGGGTTTCAGCTCACCTCTGCTTTGCCAGAGAGGCTGTCAGAACTAACTGCCCTGTGGAAGGGAGTGCTCCCCAGAGGGGCAAAGGGGGCACAGCCCCTGGCATTGAAGCTCATGTCTGTTTTTCTTTCCCTGTGCTGCCTTGACCTGGTCATTTCAGATGAGCCTCAGGTAAGATGGGACAGGGCTGCCTAGCTGTCCCGGCTCCTGGGCCCCCATCCCAGGGAGAAGGGAAGCCGGGGAGCAGAGCTGGGATGGGAGTTTGGGCAGGGAAGGGTCTGTGGAGACAGCTTGTGCCAGCGCTGACGCCCACCCTCCCTGCAGCTCTACACCCTCGCCGTGATGGGCCCAGGGCTGCCAGATGGACAGGCAGCCCAGATCTCTCGCCGCTACTCGGACTTTGAACGGTTGCACCGAAACCTGCAGCGGCAGTTCCGGGGCCCCATGGCTGCCATCTCCTTCCCCCGTAAGCGCCTGCGCCGGAATTTCACCGCAGAAACCATAGCCCGCCGTAGTCGGGCCTTCGAGCAGTTTCTGGGCCACCTGCAGTCAGTGCCCGAACTGCGCCATGCGCCAGACCTGCAGGACTTCTTCATACTACCAGAGCTGCGGCGGGCACAGAGGCTCACCTGTACTGGCCTCTACCGTGAGGCCCTGGCACTCTGGGCCAATGCTTGGCAGTTGCAGGCCCAGCTGGGCATCCCCTCTGGCCCAGACCGCCCTCTGCTGACCTTGGCAGGGTTGGCTGTGTGCCACCAGGAACTGGAGGATCCGGGGGAGGCCCGGGCATGCTGTGAGAGGGCCCTGCAGCTGCTGGGGGACAAGAGCCCCCACCCTTTGCTGGCACCATTTCTGGAGGCTCATGTCCGACTGTCATGGCGCCTGGGCCTGGACAAACGCCAGTCAGAGGCCCGGCTCCAGGCCCTGCAGGAGGCAGGCCTCACTCCCACACCGCCCCCTAGTCTCAAAGAATTGCTTATCAAGGAGGTGCTGGACTAAGCCTTGCCGAATTAAGGCCCTTGCGGGGAGCGGGGCTGCCCCAGGGTACAGAAGGTTCCTATGAAGATGGCAAGCAGCTGGGAAGCTGAGGGGGTGCTGGGAGCCCCTAGAAGTTCCACAGACAATTTGCAGCAGACCCGAGGAACCTGAGGAGCCTGGCTGCTTCTGTTGAGCCGGGCTGAGAATGACCTCTGGCCTGGGTTGCCCCGGGACAGGACAGGGAGGAAGTCTGACAGACTCGCACTTACAGCCAGCCGGGAGCTGGGGAGCTGTGGCCCAGGTCAGCGTGAGTGTTCTCCATCAGTGTTTTCCGTGGGCCTCACGCTGAAGGCCTGGGGCTTCGCCCTTGGAGTTAAGGGATGAGGGAGGGCTGCAGTTCTGGCCCAGGGGAATTAAAGGCCAGCCACTCCAGTGGTATGAGTCTCTTTATTGGATGTGAGGAGCAAAGGGCCCAGCTCTCGACCAACTCCGTATCAGGAGTAGTGGTTGAAGGGGTATCCTTGAAGTCCCAGGCCAAGCTGGTATCTCTGGCTACAGCTTGCTCTCCGAGACCCGCGGCGTCACTCGGATCACGCCCTCCTGGGCACAGGTCACAGCCAGGACCCCGTCCCGACGCCATAGCCTTCCGTGGACCAGCCCCCGAGAGCCACCTGTGGGCAAGGAGAAGGGTGAAATGGTCTCTGCTTCAGCTCAGCCAAATGTGCCTTTTGAAGGGGTCTGGCACACTAAAAGTGTAAGGATGCTCCAAATCGCCAAGCACTCCTTTCTGAGCCCCTAAGGGACAGTCATGGGGGCAGCTCCTCCCATAGGAACCCCCTTGCCAGTTGAAAAGCATTTTCACATACCCACTCCTTCCTCACAAAGATCAGAGGGAAGAGCTCTGAGGACTCCTTCAATTGCTCGGCCAGCAGACTGCCACCCCTCTGGCCACTGTTAGGACACCCATCGTTTCACTTTATAAGAAGTCAGGTCCCCCAGGCTGGTGACTCATGGAAAATGCCAGCAATGCCACCATGAAGGGGAAGAATGGGCTCGGGGGCTCTGAGGCCATGAGGTCTGCCCTCCCCACCTGGAGATTTTTTTTCTTTGCTGGCCCTGGACCTGTGTTTATGAAGAGAGCTACTGGCGTCCCTTGGTCCAGAGTTCCCTTAGTTCTCACTGTGACCCAGGGAAGTGGGCTTTCTTCTCCCGTTTTCCAGATGATGACACTGAAGTCCAGAGAGGCTCAGGAACTTGGCCCCAAAGATCAGGCCAAGCTTAAACCCACATGTCCCAACTTAAAGATTAATCTTGCATATGATGCTATTTGTTTGTTTATTTATTTGTTTGGAGAGGTTTTTGCTATAGGGCACATGCACTTACCAGAAAAATAGAGAGCCAGAGAAATAGAAAGCGAGAAATCACCCCTCAGGGGGGATGGCCACACTGCAATCCCTTCTCCTTCTCAGGATCTTGGGCATGCATGCACACATGCCTGGCGTGAGTTTATGCCACTGGGTCTAGGACTCGAACCACAGTCGACTACATGGGAGTCAGCACATAGCCATTATGCCAACTGCTGGTCCCGTGTGATGCTATTTGTACTAGAGTGGCCCTTCCCCTTTAGTTCTGCCCCATTGTAGAAAGTGTGGCTTTTCTTCATTTGAAATGTGTCTCCTTGGGATGGAAGCCGGGATTCTGAAACTAGACAGTGATGAATGAGTCTGGGTTTCTCTCTCCCCTAAAAGAAGTCTCCAAATAGGCCCCGAGACCACTGAGTGCCCTGATCCCCAACCAGGTTAATTAGCAGAACCAGTTGGGGGGCTTCTTAAAGATACAGTTTCCTGGACATCATCCAAGACCTGCTGACTCAGTCTTGGGGTAAAACCAGATTCTACTTTGAAAAAGCTTCCCCAAGTGGCAGTCTGATCCCCTACCAGGTTGGCTACCACTGCTGAAAGGTCACCCTATTTGTTTAGTTGGGGAAACAGGCCCAGAGATGAGACAGGATTAGCCAGAGAATCTGAAGTGGTTCTGGGACGAGGACCAGGTCTCAGATTAAGCAAATCCCATTCCCAGCGTAATTCACAAATGTAGAGCTGAGCAGGTTCCCCACCCTCATTCTCACTTTGAAGACAAGATGCCAAACCCTGGGGGCTGGGGAGCGAGCAGGGGAGGAAGTGACCTGTGCAGTGGCCCACAGGAAGTATGGGGGCAGCACTGCCCCAGAAAGCAAGCCCCCTGCCACCCCAGAGTCAGTGCCCTGTCCCACAGGGTCCCACACTCACCAGCCCAGGGGCTCTCGCACTCATAGAGCATCCAGTGGTCGGCTCGGAAGGGGGCGTGGAACCACATGGAGTGGTCAAGTGAGACCATGAAGCGCACCTTATACTGCCACTGGTGGGGCAGCAGTGCCGTGGTCAGGAAGGCATAGTCCGAGATGTAGGCAGCCACGCAGCAGTGCATCTTGATGTCACCCTCCCCTGCAACAGTTCCGGCCCCATCAGTTCTGGGCTCCTGGGCTTTACAGCTCAGGACCTGCAGGGAGGTGGGGAGAAGAGGGCTGCCCTGCACGGGTGTGCAAACCAATCACTGCACAAGGGCCCCTAGCCCGAGGTATGTGTGTGTGACGGGATAAAGGAGGTGGGGCTGCGGAAGAGGGATGTGAGGACTGCAATCCCGGAGTCCAGTCTTCACTCTCATCTCCCACCCTGGGCCCCAGAAGAGGTAGCTTTCAATTTGCACCATGAACCTCATGGTTAGCAGTGAACCTGGACAGACTCCTCAGAGAGGCGCCTTGCCTTCCCTAGAGGGTCCCATGTTGGGATCACAGTCACCTCTCCACTGTCCCCATGCAAAAAGCTGGGGCCTCGGTGAGGAGCCAAGCCACCTTCTGCATAATGCACACAAGGAAAGAGGTCCAGAGAAGGGAAGTAACATGCCCAAGGCCACACAGAGCCAATGAATGGCAGGCCTAGAGCCTTGGAGAGTGTTCCTCCAGGCCACGTGGTCCTCTTACCAATATGGCCCTGGGCTCGCACCCAGAACATCTGTTTGGGCTCCATTTCCTGCAGCTGGCTCAGGGCAGGTGGCTTTACCAGCTTGATCTCAATAGGCACCTCCTGGGCAGCAATTCGGTTCAACTCCACTCGGTACTTCTCTTGGAGGTTGGGGTCCCTATAAGTAAAAGGGAGAAGGATGGGGGGACCCAAAGAGAGAGGGACACCTCATCTACACCACCTCTTCTGGCCTGCCTCATTCTTCCACAGGGACTCCTGGCTTATTCCCCCCAACTCCCCTCACACCGGCAGGCAGGATAGTTTAGAGTTTGATTCTCTTCTTTGCCACTTGTAAGCCATGAGGCAACACTAGTAATCGCTCAGCCTATTTTCCCATTCTCACACTGTGGATAATGATAGTAACTGCTTAGTGAGCATTGTGAAAAAGATGAGCTAACACACCTAAGATCTTCAATAGGAGCAGGCATCCCTGGGACATGTATCATTCTGAGCACTGCACACACACTAACTTATTCTTTTTTTATATATAAAATTTTAATTTTATTGGGACCAGCAGTTAGCGTAATGGCTATGTCACTGGACTCCCCCGTAGTGGACCACGGTTCGAGTCCCGGACCCGGTGGCTTAAACTCACACCGGGCGCATGTGCGTGCGTGCCCAAGATCCCGAGAGGAGAATGGAGGAGAAGGGACTGTGGCATGGCCATCCCCCCTGGGGGGTGATTTCTCGCTTTCTGTCTCTATGTCTCTGTCTGTCTGGCGAGCGCACGTGCCCTATAGCAAAAATCTCTACCAAAAAAATTTTTTTAATTTTATTTAATTTTGGGACCAGCAGTTAGCGTAATGGCTATGTCACTGGACTCCCCCGTAGTGGACCACGGTTCGAGTCCCGGACCCGGTGGCTTAAACTCACACCGGGCGCATGTGCGTGCGTGCCCAAGATCCCAAGAGGAGAATGGAGAAGGGATTGCGGCGTGGCCATCCCCCCTGGGGGGTGATTTCCTGCTTTCTGTCTCTCTGTCTCTCTCTGTCTGTCTGGCGAGCGCACGTGCCCTATAGCAAAAACCTCTCCAAAAAAAAAAATTATTTAATTTTATTCATTGTCATTATTTAAAAAAAAAAATTTTTTTTTTTTAAGTTGACCAGAGAGAGCAAAGTGAGATGGTAAATTGCCAGGTCTGAGGGTTGGACTTCAGTCGGCCATGTGGGAATCCAGCTGCCTTCACCACGCCACCTGCCGGCCAACACTAACTTACTCTTCATGACAACTCTATGAAACAAGTACTTGTTAAAACTTTGCCAGTGTGGGGACCAGCAGATGGCATAATGGTTATGTCGCTGGACTCCCGGCATGATCATCTCCCCAGAGGGTGAGTCCTCACTTTCTGTCTCTCCAGCAAGTGCACATGCCCTGTAACAAGAATCTCTCAAAATTTTTCTTGCTAGTGGGTGCATGCACTTGCTGAAGAGAAAGGAAAAGTGAGAACCCCTGTGGGAGAATGGTCACATCACAATCCCTTCTATTCCACCTCTCACCACTTTCAGGATTTTAGGTGTACACTCATGTGCCCAGTGCTTTTTTTAAAGCTACTGGGTCTGAGACTCGAACCTCACAGTCAGTCATGTGGAATTCAGCTACTTTAACCACTATGCCAGCTGGCCTGAGATAGGCACTATTACCACTGCTGTTTACAAAATGAAATAAGTGCGGAGTCCAAATAGCTTGTTCAGAAAGTGGAGAGGGACTGGCTCAGTGGTGTGGTGGATTAAGGCAGGTGGATCCCACGTGGCCAACTGTACTGTTTGAGTCCTGGATCTGGCAACTTGAAAACCATGCCAGGCATATGTGCTCAAAATCCCCAAAGGAGGGACAGGTGGAGAAGGGATTCTGGTGTGCCTCTTCTGCATGGAAGGTGTTCTCTCCTCTCCTCTCTCACTCTCTGGTGAGTGCACATACCTTTTAGCAAGAAAAAAACGAGAGAGGAGAAGAGATGGTAGAATTTGGACTCAGACAGTTTTCATGCTCTTAATCAGTTTATTATATATATTTTTTAAGATTTTTGTCATAGAGTGCATACACTTGCAGGAGGTGGGGGACAAAGTGAGAAATCACTCCCCAGGAGGGATGGCCACACCACAACCCCTCTTCCATTCTTCTCTCAGGATTTTGGGCACACGGGTACCTGTGCCTGAAGCATTTTTCAAGGTGTCAAGTCCAGGACTCGAACCGCGGAGTTGGCCATCTGAGATCCGACCTGCTGGTCTCTCTTAACCACTTTATTACTCTAAACACTTAAGAGATAGGTTGCCACCTTGAGCTGAGTTACCTGACCCTGAACAGCAGGTAATGTGTCCCTGTGGGGATGCAGTCCATTTCCAGGGAAGCCCCTTGGACAGCACTCATACCGCCATCTTTACTCCTAGGCCCTGGAACATTATCCAACAGAACTTCTGTGATGATGGGCTTTATCTGAACTATGCACTATGGTAGCCTCTAGCCACGGGCTACTGAGCACTTGAAATGCGGCATGGGGCCAGCAGGTAGAATAGTGGTTAAGGCGCTAGATTCTCATGTGGCCAACCATGGTTCAGGTTTCGGACCTGGAGGCTTGAAACTCATGCCGGGCACTTGTGTGTGCATGCCCAAAATCCAGTGTGGCTATTCCCCCAGGGGTGACTTCACACTCTCTGTCTCTGCGGTGAGTACATGTACCCTATAGCAAAAATCTCTGGGAAAAAAAAGGGCTGGCAGGTGGCATGGTGGTTAAGGCATTAGACTCCTATATTGATCATGGTTTGAGTCCTGGACCTGACAGCTTGCTTTCTCACTTGCCCTCCCTCTTTCTGGTCAAATTTAAATAAATACATAAAGATGAATAAAATAATTATTTTTTTAAAAAAAGAAGAAATGAGGGACCAGCAGTTAGCATAATGGCTATGTTGCTGGACTCTCATGTAGTTGACCACGGTTCGCGTCCCGGACCCGGTGGCTTAAAACTCACACCAGGCGCATGTGCACACGTGCCCAAGATCCCGAGAGGAGAATGGAGGAGAAGGGATTGTGGCGTGACCATCCCCCCTGGGGGGTGATTTCTTGCTTTCTGTCTCTCTGTCTCTCTCTGTCTGTCTGGCGAGTGCACGTGCCCTATAGCAAAAACCTCTCCAAAAAAAAAGAGAAAAAAAGAAGAAGAAGAAATGTGCCTAATGCAACTGAGGAACATGACTGTTATTTCTCTTTAATTTTTTTTTTGGGGGGGAGAGGTTTTTGCTATAGGGTGCATGCACTCGCCAGAAAGACACAGAGGCAGAGAGACAGAAAGCGAGAAGTCACCCCCCAGGGAGGACAGCAATGCTGCAATCCCTTCTCCATTCTCCTCTCGGAATCTTGGGCATGCACGCACACGTGCCCGGCATGAGTTTAAGCCATTGGGTCTGGGACTCAAAACAGGGTTGACCACATGGGAGTCCAGTGACATAGCCATTATGCCAACTGCTGGTCCTTATTTCTCTTTAATTTTAATTAATTTACTACAGCCTCATATGGCTAGGGGCCACCTTACTGAACAGCATAGCTCTGAATTTAGGGTCCTTTAACTAATGTCTTCCTTCCACTTCAGCAAACAACTGTTGACTTCTAACCACCTAGCAGTCCCATGCTACTCCTGTTAATAATGGTATAATTCACTGAGCACCTACTCTTCTTTCATTTAATCCTTACAATGGTCTTATGTGGTAGGAATTATGATTACTGTCATCATTTAAGTGAGGGTGGGAAAGCAGCTTGCCCAAACTCATACCGCTAGTAGACGGGCTTTTCAGGCTCCCAAATCCATCCCATCATAGCTGCTGCCTCTCCAGTGTCCAGCACAAGACAGAGAAGCTCTCTTCTTAGGATACAACTGGGAAGGAGGCAGGGTGGCAATGATCACATTTTCGAAGAACGATGGCCCCACAAGGCAGGGGAGTTGGGCAAAGCCGCACAGCAGGCAAGCACTAATGGAGGCAGGGCCCTGGCCAGAGGCCAGTCTGTCTCACGTCTCCACCCAGTGCGCTTGCCCCTCCACCAGCACTTTTCAAATTGTATTGGCTATGATTCAAAGAAATAAACCCTCCAAATGATATTCAACGTAGCCAACATGCAAGAAAGCAAAAGCAGTGACCAGTCAAGTGTGGGCCCCAGCTCCACAGCCAGATCCTAACGGACTGTTACCCCACCAGCCATTAACTCCTTAGCTGCTGGGTCACAGCCTAAATGAGAAGAGAGCATCTCTCAGGGCCTGGGGGTGGCTATTACCACATGGTTACAGAAGCATTTCAGTATGCTAACAACTAGGAACGTATAGTAGCGCCTGTACTGGCTGATATTAACCCTGCACTACTTACTTATTTTTTAAAATAATTATTTATTTTATTTTATTTAACATTATTATTTTAATTTGTACAGGGCTTGGGCACTCACCATAGAGAGAGAGAAAGTGAGAAAGCAAGTCACCAGGTCTGGGACTTGAACCGCAATATCAGCAATGTGGGAGTCTAGCACCTTAACCACCATGCCACCTGCTGGCCCCTATTTTTATTTTTATTTGCCAAAAGAGTACACGCTCACCAAAGACAGCAGGGGGTAGCACTCCCCATGGGGAATGGTCACACCACAGTCCCTTCTCCATTCTCCTGGGATTTGGGGCACACACAAACACACCCACACACGCTACCAGAGGGATTTTCTTTTCTTTTTGGAGAGGTTTTTGCTATAGGGCATGTGCACTCATCAGAAAGAGAGAGACAGAGAGACAGGAAGTGAGAAATCACTCCCCAAGGGGATGGTCACACCACAATTCCTTCTCCTCCATTATCCTCTCGGGATCTTGGGCACCCACGCACGTGTGCCCAGTGTCAGTTTAAGCCACCAGGTTCGGGACTTGAACTGCAGTCAACTACATGAGAGTCCATTGACATAGCCATTACGCCATCTGCTGATCCCCCTGCATGATTTTCAAACAGTCAGGTCTAGGACTTGAACTGCAGCCAGCCATGTGTGAATCTAGCACCTTAACCACCACACCACCTGCTGGCCCTAATCTATTTTTTTTAAATGCTGGCCAAGACCTTCTAATGGAGTCCATGACCCATTAACAGGTGGCAACTGCAGTGTATAACCACTGCCTGGGGTACCATCAGGTGGCATAGTGTTTAAGGTGCTGGACTCCCACATGGCCAACCATGGTTTAAGTACCAGACCTGGTGACTTGCTTTTTCACTTTTACTCTCTCTCTGTCTCTGGTCAAATTTTTAAAAATAATGATGATGTTGAATAAAATTAAAATAATTCTAAAAAAAAAAAAGGCACCACCCAGAGCTTCCGTCTTTTGCCTCAGTCTCTCACCTCAAATACTGATTGATGAGGGTCTCGGAGTCGAGCAGCTCTTCTGGTGGGGGCACGATGGGCATGGAGAACTGGTGCTGCACAGGGCTGGGCTGGGCCTGCTGGAAGGAGGCCTGGCAGATAAAGATGGGCTTGCCATGCTGCACGGCCTTCACAGAGCGCACCGAGAAGCTCGTCCCTGTCCTTGTCCGCTCCACCTGGTATAGCACTGGCACCTTCGGGTCCCCTGTAGTGGAAAGGACATGGGGCACCCCCCAGGTAAGCCCCCCAGGCCCTGTCATCCTCCCAGTGGCTGGACAGGCACCTCTGCTGCTCGCCCTCCATTCCATCTCTGCTCAGTAGCTACTGACTGAGGCCTGCTCCGGCCTGGGGAATGAGGAGAGAACCTGGCCCTGTCATCAGGCTGCTACCAGTGCCCGGACGCTTCTCTCTGATGACAGCACAGGACAGCAGGGACACTGCCGCATTCCCTGCATTCCCATTCTGGCTCTACCACTCACTCCTGTGTGACCCAGGGAAAGTCACTTACCTTCTCTGAGCAGTGTACTCATTGGTAAAATGAGGGAAATCATCAAGCTCCTACCTCACAAGATTTTTTTTTTTTTTTTTTGAGAGATTTTCACTGTAGGGCGCGTGCGCTCGCCAGACAGAGAGAGACATAGAGACAGAAAGCGAGAAATCACCCCCCAGGGGGGATGGTCATGCCGCAATCCCTTCTCCTCCATTCTCCTCTCGGGATCTTGGGCACGCACGCACACGTGCCCGGCGTGAGTTTTAAGCCACCGGGTCCGGGACACGAACCACGGTCGGCTACGTGGGAGTCCAGCGACATAGCCATTACGCTAACTGCTGGTTCCCCCTCACAAGATTTTTTAAAGAGAGGTTTTGCTTTAGGATGCACTCGCAGGAGAGAGACAGAGGCAGAAAGAGTGAAAAATCACCCCCCAAGAGGGATGGCCACAGCACAATCCCTTCTCCTTATTCACCTCCTGGGATTTGAGCCCCACATGCACACACGCCCAGCATGGTTTCTAAGAGACTAAGGCCAGGACTCGAACTACTGTCAGCCATGTGGAAGTCCAGCGCCTTGACCACCACGCTACTGGCTGGCCCCAGAGTCCTATTTTTGTGCATGGTTTGGTCAGTCTCGCTTTCATCCACAAAACCTAAGGAAAGGCCCGCAGTCAGTCACTTCATCCCCAATGTAAATGGAAGCCGATTGGTCCTTCTTGCTGAGCCTGTGGCCAACCCAGAGTAGAAGGCACTGGTCAGGCATGAGGACTATCAGCCTTCAGCAAGCAGGTTGGGGGGAACTGTAGCAGAGGAGATCTTCTCTGGGGTCCTGAAGTCTTACACTTTGTCTGAATCAGACTGACCTTGAGGAACCCTGACTGGGTCGTGAGATATCTTGAGGGTGCTTTTCAACTTTCAGATGAAAGAAGGTCTAGAGAAGTGTTGCCTCTGCCTCCCCAACTCCCCATACTCCCACCCTCCGAGGAGAGCTGACCAAGCACCTAGGGTGTTCTACAGCAGTGACCATCACTGTCTGAAGCTGTTACTCAGCACTTTGTTATCAGGCTTTGCCATAAGGCTTTTTATCAGACTGGGAGAGCCTCAAGGTCAAAGGCCTTTGAGGAAGGCCTACCCAGAGTCTAGCCCTTGGAAGGAGCTACATGTGTAGTCTGATTCTAGAACCCCTCCCTACCATGGAACTTAAAACAAAACTCTAGTCTAATCCTTAGGCTGCAGCTAAAAGGCAAGTTCCCCTAGACAATCACAGAGCTTTCAGTACTGTATTTCCCTTTCAGTGTGAATGACATTCAGGCCTGTTCTGGGACAGTTACTGGAACAGAACAGGTAGGTAAGTGCTGGGTGCCAGGAAGCATTTGACATAATTACTATGCACAGTGAGTCTTGTCCCCGAGTATAGGACATTAATGACCTACAATACAAATGTTGGCATATAGCTACGCTCATCTGTTTATGTGTTGTCTAGAGTTGCTTTCATCCACAAAACGTAAGAAATTTACTAGCTGGCCCTTTACGGAATATTTGCTGACCCCTGCTCTGGATTCTCCAAGCTTAAAATCTATACCAAGTCAGATGACCCCTGCGCTACATTCTCTTACTTCTGTAGAGAAAAACAAAAACAAAAACTCTTAACTGATCAACATTCCTTCCGAAGCTTTTAGAAGAAGTTGATATAATAAATGGCCAAGCACTCCCCCACTGCATATCTTTGATTTAACAATATCACTGGTTTTTAAAATTTAATGTTTTCAATAGAGGGTCACATCACAAATTGATAAAAGAGCTTCCCTTTTTGCCAACTGCCAGGAGGCTCAGAACTGAACTTTGTGTAAAACTGCAATATGCCTTAGCCGTTCTCCTCTCAGGATTTTGGCACGCACATGCACTTGGAAACTGCTGTGTCTAGGACTTAAACCATGCGGTTGTCTATGGGGCATCATGCCACCAGCTCACCCCTTAGCCTAGTTTTTGGACATCATCGTTTTCCCCAAATCCCACGTTACTACTGACTCCCACATAGTCGACCGCAGTTTGCGTCCCGGACCCGGTGGCTTGAAACTCATGCCGGGCGCGTGTGCGTGCATGCCCAAGATCCCGAGAGGAGAATGGAGGAGAAGGGACTGCAGTGTGACCATCCCCCCGGGGGGTGATTTCTCGCTTTCTGTCTCTGTCTCTCTCTGTCTGGCGAGCGCACGCGCCCTATAGCGAAAACCTCTCCAAAAAAAAAAACATCCCCTACAGGGAGATGGTCAAACTAAAATCCTTTCTTTTCAATTTTTCCTTTTGGGTTTTGAGCATGCACACACACGTGCTCAGCATGTTTATCAAGCCACTGATTCCAAGACTCCAACTGCACAGTTGGCCATATGACCCAGACCCCTTAACCACCATGCCACTGGCTGGCCCCTAATGTTTTTCTAATACAATTTTTTTTTTTTTCTTTTTAAGGTTTTCACCATAGGGCATGTGTTCTGGCCAGGGAGACAGGGAGACAGTGAGAAGGAAAGTGAGAAATCACCATCCCTCAGGGTGGGAGGAGGGGATGACCATGCTGCAATTCCTTCTCCTCCTTTCTCTTTTCGGGATTTTGGGCATGCACATACATGCACCTGGCATGAGTTTCAAGCTGCCAGATCTGGGATGCAAACTGTGGTCAGACATGAGGACCCAGTGCCTTAACTGTCACACTACCTGCTGGTCCCACAAATCACCTATTATCAAGTTCCACAAAATCTCCTCAGTTAATGGGTCTATGCAGAAGGCAGTAGCTCTTAAAATTGGGAGCATCTGGGGCCAGCAAGGGGTACAGTGTTTAAGGCACTGGACAACCATGGTTCAAGTCTCGGACCTGGCAGTTTGCTTTCTCACTTTCCCTCTCTCTAGTCAAATTTAAAAATAATAATTTAAATTTTCTAAAAACTGAAAAAAAATTTTAAATGGCATCTGCCCTATGGTAATGGAAAAAGAAGTAAGCAACAAAAATTCTTTTTTTTTTTTTTTTGGAGAGGTTTTTGCTATAGGGTGCGTGCATTCACCAGAAAGACAGAAAGTGAGAAATCACTCCCGGGGGGGTGGGGGGGGGATGGCCAAGCCGCAATTCCTTCTCCTCCATTCTCCTCTTGGGATCTTGGGCATGCATGCATATGCACCTGATGTGAGTTTTTTTTGTTTGTTTGTTTGTTTGTTTTAAGAGAGGTTTTTACTAGAGGGTGCATGTGCTCTCCAGAAAGACAGAGACAGAGAGATACAAAGTGAGAAATCACCATGCAGGAGGGATGGCCACACCGCAATCCCTTCTCTTCCATTCTCCTCTAAGTATCTTGGGTATGCATGCATGTACCTGGTGTGAGTTTAAGCCACTGGGTCTGGGACTCAAACCACAGTCAACTACATGGGAGTCCAGTGACGTAGCCATTACACCATCTACTGGTCCCATCTATTTTGTTTTTTTATAAAAGAGTGTGGCCTTTTTTTTTTTTTAAAGAATTATTTATTTTATTTTATTTATTTAAATGTGCAGGACCGGCAGATAGTGTAATGGTTACATCGCCAGATTCCCATATAGTTAACTGCAATTCAAGTCCTGGACCGGGCATCTTAAAATTCACACTGGGTTGGGACCACCACGCCACCTGCTGGTCCCAAATGACTACTCTTTTATTTGACCCTGGAACTGAAAGCAGCTGTAGAGATCATCCCACTAAACAGCCTTGGTCCTCCCCGTTCTTCATTTTATAGATGGGTAAGCCAAACCTGGGGCAGGGAGGTAACTTCACTCCAGGTCACACAGCAGATGGGCACCACTGGAATAAGCCCGAGGTCCCTTGATCTCAGGCTGGTGCTCTCTTCCCTGACCTAGATGCCCACCCTCGATACCCTAGCAGAGGTTACAACACCACTCTGAAGACTGAGCAGTGGTTGGTACCAGAAGGAAGAACGCAACGAAGGAAGAAAGAAAAGCCTGCAGGGAGACTTAAGCAGCAGTTTTGTGTCATTATGAGCCAGATACTAAGAACCCAGTGGGTTTCATGGTTCCTGCCTCCCTAAGCAACTCGTGGATGGGAGGTCTCCCCTCCCTTCTCCCCTCTCTTCCCATTCTCTACCATCAGCCCCCAATGCCAGGAAGAAGAGGCAGCCGAGCCCCCAGGGCTGGGTTGGGGGCAGGAGGGGAGGTTTACCTGCCCGAACAAAGTAGCAGTGCAGGGAGTGCACGTGGACGTCTTCACTCACAGATTTGGCAGCCGCTACCAGGGCCTGGCCCACGATCTGTCCCCCGAACAGCCGCTGGGTGGTGGGTACCCAGTAATGCCTTCCTCTGTGGGGAGATGGGGAGAGTGGAAAAGAGTAGGGGCTCAGCCTTAATAGCCTGTAGGGCAGGATCTCTTAACCGCACTGGAGTTGGTGATCCTTTTGAGAATCGGGTAAAACCACACCTCTTTTCCCAGGTAAGCATTCTTACACCTCACTCTGCATGAAATTTCAGTCATCATGACCACCCAAAACCTTCTGAGGATTTCAGTTAAGGATAAGGATTACACTAAGAGAACAGGGCTCAGGGACAAAAAGTGACTAGCAAAGTCACACAGCAGAAACAGGGCCAATCCTGGGCAGTACATGGTCTTTTTGACCTCGGATCCAAAGTTTTTTCCACTCCCCATACCAGATAGGGCAGAAGCCTCTCAAGGCTTTTAATAATCAAGATGAACCCCAAGAGCTGAGCTGGGGATGGACGGCATGAAGGCCTGCCACTTATGCTCCCTCAACCAGTTCCTCCAAGACTTACGCTTTAGCTAGAACAGCCTCGGACATGAAGTCTAACTCCACTGTACAGGCAAGAAAAAACCAGGCGGAGCCCACAGCTCAGAGAAGCCAGCACTGGCTGAAGGATTTACATCTCCATCCACCGTGGTCCAGCCAGAGTTTGGCATTTTCCATAACAATGCCTTGGAAACTACCCTCCAGGAAGTTCTTTACTATTCCACAAAGGAAAGGAGAGGTCACAGATAGCTCCCAGAAAGCCGGCTGGGGCCTCTGAGGTCTGAGCTGTTACCCACCACACCTACAGTCAGGAATTTAAGTGATTGTGAGGGAGAGATGAGTGAAGAACTACGACTCCACCAAATGGTGCCGGGGCTGGGCTACGAGAGAGGGAAAGGATTTTACACCTGATCAACTGTGTGCCCTTGGGCTCACCACCCTCTGGGCTGGCTCCCCCTGCGTGAGCGGGCAATCCAGGGCGGTATCTCAGGTTACCACTTTATTAGTCCAGATCGCCAGGATTTCCTAGCGGTGAGGCTGCACAGACATCGCGTGGAGAAGAGGGAGGACAGCCCGACAACGAGGGCAGCATTTCAGGGACAAATTCTAGCCTAATCGCGGCAGAGCCTGCATCCCTCGCAGAGCCCATCCTAGTCGCGGAGCTGGGGACCCTGGGGCGGCGGCAGTCGCGATCAGGAGTGTCTGTCCTAAAGAAGGGATGCGGCCACTACCTGAAGAGATCCTCGTCCAGCGGCTCGAGATTGAGCACGCTGGTAACCAGGACGCTACGGAGGTCCCCGGGAGGATCTCCGCGGCCGCCGCCGCCCTGCCCGTCCTCCGAAGCCTCTGGGGACGACATGCCGTTCACTCGCAGCCGACCGGGAACACTGCACTAGGCGGAACTCGCGGAGACCCCTCACGGATCCCGGCGCTTCCGGCAGATTGCTCTAGTGACCGGAAGTCTTCCGCGGATCCCTGAGAAAGCAGGATGAGGATTATGAATGGTTGGTGCGCCTGTCAGTCCTCACGTGGGTGTGGCTACCTTTCTCTACCGGTTGGGGAGAATAAGTGCCAGTCTGGGGACCCGCTGTGATTGGACGTTACAGGGAGGGGGCGGAGCCTCAGGGCTGAATAATTAGAATTGAGCGTCGTTTCCTCTTCCCCCCCCCCCACCAGGCAGCGGAGACGCCTCATCCTCGTTTAACACCGTCAGGCTTAAGGCTCCTCCTGAGCCCCGCCATAGGCCACCAAGTTAGGGCGGACCCTTAAGATGCCCTGTGCCCACGCCAGCCTGTAAACCCTCCTAGTGTAATCTCTGACCCCTGGTGTTTCTAGGCCATAGCTGGGGCCAGCCCCGCGTGTGGCCGTGGGGACTGTCATGGAGCTGGGCAGCTGCTTTAAGACCTACGAGGACTTCAAGGAGTGCTTCAGCGCCTACAAAAAGGAGAACAGGTGCTCCTTCGTTCTCAGGGACTGCGTCTCCGTCCGCTTCCACAACCTCAACAACGGCACCTCCATCCGTGAGGACATCCTGTAAGGGCGGGCCGGGGCGGGCCGGGGCGGGGCAGGAGGGTGGAGTGGAGGCCGAGCAGCCCTCCCGAGGGCGTCCTGGAGGAGGAAGGAATGCACTTGGGTCCAGTTCTCCCTTTGCGTAGCCATTCATTCAACAGGCACTCACTGGGCAGCTGCTGTGTGCCTCAAAGGGCATCGCTTTTTGACCACCCACTTGACTGGCTCATTCACGCCTTCATTCGCAGGCTTTTCCAGAATACATAATAGCTGCAATGTCTCCCATTTTCTGGTACCTGCAGTATTCCAGGCACAGAGTAAGGCCTTCCCAAATAGATTGAAAATGCCCTGACGATAATTTCCTTCATCAGTTTCTCTTCACAAAGCAAAGACATGACCATTTGTGGGTTAGTTTCTTCATTCCCTTTGTAAGTGGTTCTTGAACACTTGATATTACTGTGACAGCCATTTTTCTAACGCGTGCCTCATCCCAGCCAGCGTTTTTTATTTTATGCACGCTTTACCCTGCAAGGCTGTTTTCAGAATTATAGATAAATGTTATTTTTCCCATTTGACGCTTGAGAAAACAGGTGTACAGGCGAAGATGGGATTTGAAAACTCAAATGCCTTTAAGGACTCAGGTGAAATGGCCTGCGATAAGAAAGTTTAATTAATTTTACTCACAGAAAAAGATGAAATAACAACTGTCCCAGGTGTTTGTGCACGGACAAAATGGAGAGTAGGTTCCATCTAATCACCTCTGGCTAATGGCTGCCACATGAAAATGAAGATCCAGTGTTGTCAGAGTTTGGGGCAAGAGTTGTCAGAAATTCAGACTGTGGGGTGCAGCCAGTAGCATGGTGATTAAGGTGTTTGGCTCCCACATAGCCAACTGCATGATTCAAATCCCAGACCTGGTGGCTTAAAAAACACACTGGGAGGGAACCAGCAGTTAGCGGAATGGCTGTGTCGCTGGACTCCCACGTAGTCGACCGCGGACCCGGTGGCTTAAAACTCACACGGGGCGCGTGTGCGTGTGTGCCCAAGATCTTGAAGGGAGAATGGAGGAGAAGGAATTGCAGCGTGACCATCCCTGCTGGGGGGTGATTTCTCGCTTTCTGTCTCTATGTCTCTCTGTCTGGCGAGCGCACGCATCCTATAGTGAAAACCTCTCAAAAAAAAAAAAAAAAAACACTGGGAGTGTGAGTGCATGCTCAAAATATTTTTTTAAGAATTACTTAATTTAACTGAATTTAATTTATTATTATTATTTTAAATAATTAATTTTTTTAACCTTATTTATTTTAATTTGACCAGAGAGGGACAGAGTAAGAGAGAGAAAGGGAATGTGAGAAAGCAAGCCGCCAGGTCTGGGACTTGAACTGTGGTTGGCTATGTGGAAGTCCAAAGCCTCTAACCACCACACCACTTGCCGGCCCCTATTATTATATATTCTTTAATTATTTTATTTAACTTTATTTATTTATTTATTTATTTTTAAATTTGAACAGAGAGCAGAAGAGAGAGAGAAGGAGTGAGAAAGCAAGCCGCCAGGTCCAGGACTCAAACCATAGTTGGCCATGTGGGCGTCCAGTGCCCTTAGCCACCATGCCACCTGCTGGCTGCCCCTCCTATTATTATTATTTTTAATTTGACCAGAGAGAGGGAAAGTAAGAAAACAAGCTGCCAGTTCCAAGACTTGAACCACGGTTGTTCATGCGGGAGTCCAGCACCTTAACCACCACGACACCTCCTGGTCCCACATGCTCAAAATCTTAGGAGAAGAATGGTGAAGGGATTGCAGCATGGTCATCCCCCAGGGGTGCTTACTCACTTTGTCTCTCCCCCTACCCCAGCAGACAAAAGAGAGATGCAGAGAAGGACTTGACAAATGCCTGGGCAGTGGGAAACAGCTTTGCGCGGAATACTGGTTTCTCTGGGATGGGACTGAATGCTTAGTTACTGAGTAGCATTGGAGCAGGTTGACCAGAAGGAGCTGCAGAAGGACCTGTGGGAGCAGGGGCACAGATATATGAAAGCAGGTGGCATGTCCGAGAAACTGGGGTGTCATGGGCGGCAGGAGATGAAGTAAGTCACCGTCCACCTGAAAGGTCTCTAGGTACCGTTGTTGAGGTGTTTGAATGTTAGCCTAGGTAGATGGCACCTTGCTAAGTGATGAGAGGAATATAAAAAATGTACACTTGAACCAGCTGGTGGCGGAGTGGTTAAGGTGGCTGGATCTCTCTTGGCTGACTGCACAGTTCGAGTCCCAGACTGAGTGGTTTGAAAAGCACATTGGGGGACCAGCAGTTAGCATAATGGCTATGTCGCTGGACTCCCACGTAGTCGACTGCGGTTCGCGTCCAGGACCTGGTGGCTTAAAATTCACGCCGGGCATGTGTGCACGCATGCCCAAGATCCCAAGAGGAGAACAGAGGAGAAGGGATTGCGGTGTGGCCATCCCCCCTGGGGGGTGATTTCTCGCTTTCTGTCTCGCTGTCTCTCTCTGTCTGGTGAGCGAGCGCACACGCCCAAAAAAAAAAAACAAAAAAAAAAAAAAAAAAAAAAAGTCAGATCAAGTTAGAAAATGGAAGCTTATCAGGCCGACAAAAGAGCAGTGTGAGAACAGGGATTCAAACTGGTGATGGGAAGAAGCCAGGCCACAGCAGTCATGGAACAATGGATCAAGTAAAAGGAAAAAGTACCTTGAACCTCCTTCTGACTGGCTGTTGCACATTAATCTGTTTATAACAAGTAGAGCTGCTTAAGCTGTTTTGGCCCTAGCTGATTTAATTTCCCTGAGTCCTACTGGCAGGGTGTAAAGCTTACCTTCATGTTTTGTTTATGATTAGAGTTAGCATTTTAAAGAAATGAGGATAGTGGGACCAGCAGATAGTATAGCAGTTACATTGCTGGACTCTCACATGGCTGACTGTGGTTCGAGTTCCAGACCCAGAAGCTTGAAACTCACACCAGGCATGTGTGCATGCATGGCCATCCCTCCTGGGATGACTTGGGGGTGACTTCTCTCACTCTGTCTCTCTCCGGCAAACGCACACACACTATGGAAAAAAAAAAAAGTCTCTCAAAAAAAAAAGAGAAAGAAAGAAATCAGGATACCTTAAGTTTGGGCAGTTGGCCTTTGGGCATATCTAAATTGTGGTTTCTGTTTATTTTTCTTTAACGTCCCTGTCAAATGGGAGTCCCTATGATTTCACGCCCAGTTTCCCCTTCCCTATGTGGATCCAGTTGTGTTACCACTATGCCACCATCATTTAAAAAATTCCACTCACATTTTTCCACTGTTTACTATGAAGTGTTTCTGGGGCTGTTTTGGTTGCAGTTAACTGAAAACTGACTCACGGCTTATTAGTTGCTGGTACTTCGAAGCCCAGAGCCAGGGCCCCACAGCTGACTGTCTCGGCGGCCATGGGTATGGGCATGGGCATGCTTCCAGTCTTCCGTCTTCGGTCTCAGCTCTGCCCTCCGGATGGCTCCCAACAGGACACAGTGCAGGAGTCGCATCCCGGAAAAGAAGCCTTCCTTGGTCTGGGACAGATTGCCTGTTCCGTTTCTTTTCCCAGAACTGGGCCATTTTCCATGCCCATTCCTAATGAGATTACCCTAATGGGCTCAGATTAGCCCTGAAGCATGGAGCTGTGTGGGGGAGGAATGGCAACCTCGGAAAACCAGCCCTCTGATAGGAAGAAAGGGACAAAAAGATGTTGGAACCAACCAACAGCACCTATCACAGCCTTTTAGATGAATTCACCCTAAGTGGTCCTGATTATTCTCGGATCAAGTACTGATTCTTCCTAGACCAGCATTCTGTTACTGTTATTTCCATGTTTATAGATAAGGAATTGGAATCTTAGAGAAAAGGAAGTAGCTTTTTTTTTTTTTTTTTTTTTTTTTTAGAGAGTTTTGCTATAGGGTGCATGTTCTTGGCAGGTGGACAGAGAGAGAGAGAGAGACAGAAAGTGAGAAATCACCCCCTAGGGGGGGATGGCTGCACCGCAGTCCCTTCTCTTTTCGGGATTTTGGGCAAGCACAGACATGCACCTGGCGTGAATTTAAACCGCTAGTTATGGAACTTGAACTGCAGTCATCTACGTGGGAGTCCAGCGATGTAACCATTCCGCCATCTGCTGGTCCCATAAAGTGGCTTTTCTAAGGTTATACAGTTAATAATTGGAATTTAACTCACATCTTCTGACTCTTAGGAATCTTGTCCGTAACTCGTTATATAATATAAGGTGGCTTTACCTACTCTCCACCTACAAAAATCCTATTTATTGTTTAAGGTGTAATCGACCCACAGCACAGATCCGGGCCAGCCTCATCAGGCAGTGGTTGAAGGCTGAATAGAAGTCAGATCCCACATGGCCAACCAGGGTTAGAGTCCCAGCCCTGGCCTGTTCATACTGGGTCTGCACACAGCCCAGGATCCTGACAGGGTGGATAACTGGAAGAAAAAGAATTGTCATGACTAGGCCCCACTGGGGTGTCACTCTTTCTCTCTCTTCCTTTCTCTCTCTCTCCCTCTCTCGTGAATTCCTGATTATCTTCTCACAGTGCTTATGTTCTTCATATACCTGGAGAACTCGGGTCTTCATTGACTTTGGTACCCTACTAGTCCCCCTGGTGGTCACTTGGACCATTTTGTCTTCATTTGCCCTCCTTGAGTCGCTTATTGAAATTATCTTTTGGGAAGGACAGTGTGTCAAATATACCAAAGAGGACTTTTATGTCAGAGTGCCTGTCCAGAAAATCTTTGAGAAATTCTTAGAAGTCAATCTGGAGGCACTGGCTGGTGGCATGGTCGTTAAAGGCACTGGACTCCCACATGGCCGACTACGGTTCAAGTCCTTAACATGGCGGCTTGCTTTCTCACTTTCCCTCTCTCTGTCTCCCTGTGTTCCTCTTTGGTAAAATTAAAATAAGTAAGTAAGTAAATAAATAAATAAATAAATAAAGTTAAAATAATTCTTAAAAAAAAAAAAAGTCAATCTGGAATCAGAACA